ACCGGGACTAGAACCTGGTGTGCCGGCGCCGCTAGGCGGAAGATTAGCCTAGTGAGCTGCGGCACCAGCCAGCAAAGCCCGTTTTTCTACAGGTGCTAATAATCAGTCAACAGCACTGCAAGTTTATGGGTATGAGGTCAAACCATGTATGATTCCTGCTGTCCGGCCATTTTTGACCCACAAAAACAGTGCTTTTCTATGACTTGACTTAAAACCTCTTCCCATCCCAGAATACTTTCCAGTGTTCTTTCAGGGGCCTACAGCATCCTCACAGGATCTGTTGAACTCACTTCTAGCAGGATTTCCTATCACTCTTCTCTGCTCTTTCTGGGCCCACCCCCACATCTCTTTGTTGGTCCTTGGGCACTGGGAACTCACATCTGCCTCAGGGCCTTTGCAGTTGCTATTCCTCTGCTAGAACATTCCTCTCTGTAGACTTGAGCCCAGTTTACTTTTCCTCTTACTCAACATAAAATAGCCTTCCCTCTCTTCCTACTGCCCCTCTCTGGCCCACTTGCTCTGTCCTTTGTGTCTCCTTAGCACTTGCTGCCATCTGACATCCATTTGTCTGCTTATTGTCTATCTCCCACCAGTACAGCATTGGTTCCATGAGAGCAGGGACTTTGTTTTGTTCCCTGCTTTTTCCCCAGGGTTTGGAATTGTGTCAAACACATGGTAAGTGTTCGATAAATATTTATGGCATCAATGAATGATTTTATGGAGAGGAAACCCAGGCTCAGAGGAGTCACATGACTCTCCCAAAGGCACACAGCTGTGGTCTGGGGAAACTGGAGGTGGGAACAAAGCTCCAAAATTCAGATTGCAAAGTCTAGACCCCATACAAAGGCCCCTGCTTCCAGGTCCCCTGAGAGATGGGGTCCATGTGTCTGTGGGGCTAACTCAGGGCTCCTGCCCTGGATGCAAAGCTGCACCAGATGACTCCAGGGATTCCTTAAACTTTTTAGATTCTATTATACACAGTTGATATCTATTTTAGTGAGAGAATCATCGGGGCTCTGAGAAAAGCAAGGTTTGGTCACCCCTCGGGCTATAGCGTGACTCTGGGGAGCCAGCCTCTGCTCAGAGCATTGGCAGGATACTGTTTGAAAAGAAGTCTCAAGCAGCGTCTCTTTTGGAGAGAGGGAACATGAGTCTCAAAATATGAAATATCCCCCGTTTGCAAATGAATGCAGCCTGTGTTTGCATAGCGACCACCAAGAGAGCAGTATTGTGTGGAGAGGAGCACACAGAGCTCCCCAGTTCAATTCTGGGAGCTGATGGCAGTGCTCTCCCCAGGAGGCTGCCTGTGTGCAGCTAATTACAATGAGTAAAGGAAATGGGGAAATGAGGGCCACCACGGATGAACTGATCTTTCTCCTCCCCCAGGTTCCTGCTTGGCAAGGAGCTGGGCTTTGGGTTTCAGAAACCTGGGGGCTGGCAGGAGGGGCTCTCTCAGGCTCAGCTGGGGGAAGGGGACACAATCTCCTAAGATCAGTCACCGCCGCAGCAGTGTTGGTGGCATGGGATGGGTGCTACAGAGTGAAGATGGGGTAGGGTGGGATACCATAGTGTTAACAGACCAAAGTACTCACTTTCGAACAGCATTTAGCCATTTACAAGAGGCTTTTGTACATCTCACCTCATTGAATGCTCATAACATTTCACAGATGAGGAAATGGGAGCCCAGAAAGGTGTGCGTTGGCCTGGCATGCATTGCAGAGTCAGGGAGGCTTTGCTGGGATTTTAACCTAAATCTTCTCATTCCAGAGTCTAAGCTATACTCATAACCTCTGGGCTGGTGCTGACATCTATCCTGACATCTCTAAGGAAAGAGGCACTGGAGAGAGAGGGACACAGACCCACTGCTCCCCCTCCCTTCTCTAGGTAATAAGAGCTACTGTTCACTGAGTCCCGGTGTTCTGGAACCCTGTTAAGCACATTCAAGGGGGATAGGAACCATTCATGACCAGTCCATTTCACAGGGAAACCGAGAGCTGCAGAGAAGTCACATAACTCACCCCAGGAGGGAATGGTGAGGGTAGGATTTTAACCCTCTGTTAACCAGGATGGGACATGCAGTGTTCCAATAACAAACAGCTATACAATTTCAACATCTTAAGCCAAAAAAAGAGGTTCATTTCTCTCCCAAACAACAAGGATTGGCAAAGGAGCTCTGCTTCAGACCCACTCAGTAACCCAGGCAGAGAATTCACTGTCACCGAGCTGCACCACCTGGGACACCCAGCTCCTGCCCCTACGGCAGGGGATTAAAAAAAAAAAAAAAACAGAGGATCTCATACTAGCAATTAAGTGTTTTGGTCTTAAATGACATCTCTCTTCTATAGCACCTTGTCTACAACTAGTCAGGCTGGCCTTTCCCAACAGCCAGGGGACTCAGAGAGAGAGAAAGAGAGAGAGAGAGAGAGAGAACCCAGAATCAGAGGTACTGGTGATGTCCACCTCCGTGGCACACTGACTTAAGAGTACATGCTGGGGCCGGCGCTGTGGTGTAGCAGATACAGTCGCCGCCTGCAGTGCTAGCATCCCATATGGACACCGGTTCTAGTCCTGGCTGCTCCACTTCCAATCCAGCTCCCTGCTAATGCACCTGGGAAAGCGGTAGAGGATGGCCCAAGTCCTTGGGCCCCTGCACCCACGTGGGAGACCCGGAAGAAGCACCTGGCTTCAGATGGGTGCAGCTCTAGCCATTGTGGCCAACTGGGGAGTGAACCAGCAGATGGAAGACGTCCCTCTCTCTCTCTCTCTCTCTCTCTCTCTCTCTCTCTCTGCCTCACCTCTCTCTCTGTGTAACTCGTTCAAATACATAAATAAATCTTTAAAAGAGAGAGAGAGAGAGTCCATGCTTTTAATTAGCCTGCTGTCTGAGCTCCTGCAGTCTCCTTTCCCTTTTCGCGTTGTCTGTGGGTTTGTCTCACATCCCTCTTGCCTCCGCTCCTCCCTGCTTTCCTCCAGCAGCAACTGAGCAACTGCATGGCCAGAACCCTAGAGGGCAGTGGGGGTCCTAAGGTAAAAGATCCCTGGTCGCCACCTGCAAGCGCCCTCATTCCGAGAGGAGCGTGCTCATGCGTCATACACAAAACGCTGTGATCGAGGCCGGACAACTGCTCAGAGGCAGGAACTTGTAGCAGCACACTGCAAACACGGTGAATCCCATTTGGTTGTGTTGAAACGTAGGAAAGGGAGGGCTGACTCAATCTTTGGGAGAGTGCTTGGAGCCCTGTCACGGAGGACTTCATTCACACTTTGGTGTGCAAGTGCACATCAGAGCCTAGAAATCTGCTTCCTAGGCCGAGAGCTCCTGTTGTGAGCCAGAGGATTTCACAGGAGGGCAGTGGCTTTCAAAACTTCCCCTGGCGCAAAGCAGGTAGAGCCACCTCCTCCAGCATTGGTTTGCATCCTGGCTGCTCCATTTCCTACCCAGCTCCCTGCTGGTGTGCCTGGGAAGGCAGCTGAGGATGGCCTAGGAGCTTGGGCCCCTGCACCCACTTGGGAGACCCAGAAGCTCCTGGTTTCGCACCCACCCAGCTCTGGCCTTTGTGGCCATTTGGGGGAGTGAACCAGTGGATGGAAGATATCTCTCTGTCTTTTCTTTCTCTCTATAACTCACAAATAAATAAATAAATGTTTTTGGGAAAAAAGAAAACTTCCCCAAAGCTTGGCCACAAAGGGGCTGTGTCCTTATTACTTGTCCTCAGGCTGGAGGGGACTTCAAGGGGCTGAGGTCCCTGCCACAGGAAAAGCCTGGCAGGGAACAGAAAAGCTCCTGTGGCTAACTGGGTGTAGGCGTTTGGAGCCTCAGGTGGGGCCCTATCCACCAGCTTGTCCCATAGTGCCTGGCGGGCCGTGGGGACACAGAGGTGAATAAAATGTATCGCAAGGGAAGGCCCAGCAAAGGGAGCGCCCCAACTACCTCTGCCTAGCAGAACAGAATTGGCCTGGGCCTCCAGGTTTGCACAATTTTGTATTCTCCTCTCCACCAACCCCTGCTGTCCTGCCCTTTGGTTGCTTCTGGATCCTGACTATGTATGATAGTTTTTAGCTATTAGTGCAACTCACCTGACTGCAGCCTCTCACTTCACCCTGTACCTGGGCCTCTCATTCCCAGCCAGGCTGTCCCCACCGTAACCCACTGACAAGTCCTTGGTCCTCCAAATGGTGCGCCCTCTGCTCCCTGTCCCCTGCCTCAGCTGGCCCCAGCTTCTGGGTTGCAACCTCCACCCTCTTGGAAATGGATTACGTTCTCTCTCACGTATTTCTTCTTAGCTTTTATATCCTATCTCTGCCTCACCGTATTCTGTGTCCCTTGTGCACAAACAGGCTGCTGTGAGCCACTTTGAGTCTGCTTGGTTGTTAACTGGATAGCGAAAACAATAAACCCTTGTATTTCTCCTAATGATTGACAGCCTTCCAAAACATTATCTGAAAACAATTTCAGGTGTCCTCAAACACTGCTGGGAAATGAGCTCAGCGGAATCCTTGCCAGTGCCACCCGACGGAGAGCATTTGGGATTCTCGGCAGGATGGTCTCTGTTGGGCAGGGCTGCAACACCTGCTCTTCCCTGCTGCTTTACAACAGGTTCAAAAGCGTGCAGATCTGACAACTTTGTTTTTAACCCAAACCAAATGAAACAAACCGGACTGTGTACCCACTCCCAATTCCTTTGGGATCCCAATCCCAAACTCAAGAGTCTCCCCTCTTTTCCTCCCCATAATCAGATTTGGCACACATGCTGATGCTATATTCCAAAAACAGGGAGCTTCTTCTAGCTGTTTGTCCCTGGACTGCTACAACTGGCCTCAGGGTTCTGCAAGGCACAAACTGGTGAATAAAATGGTGTTTATCACACAGCCTGGAGGTGACACAGATTCCAGTTTCTGCAACCTTAACCCAAAATCTTTCCCCCAAACGTGGCCTGGTTTACTCAGAACCAGGCAGGCTTTTTTAAAGCTGCTTATGCATCAAATAACACAAAACAGAGTAATTTTTAAAACATTTATATTTATATATATATAAAAATTAAATATATATAATATATAGTGTGTTTGAGACTAAAAATATAGTACATAATATTTAAAAAAAAGAAAAAAAAGGCAGAATAGGAAAAGGTGTGAGGGACACACAGATACACATTGCTAAAAATCTACGATGGTTTGTCCTAACAAAAATAATATTTTTCTTCTCTCCTCTTATCGTCATGGATTCATTTATTATTGGGGTTTGGGTGCAGAAAAATTCAACTGGAGCCAGAAATAGAGGTTGTAATTCCAAAAGTGGCTGGGACAGAGAAGGCGACCACAGGGAGCTCTGGGCCTGCCTGGCGGAGCTGGAGGCAACAGCTAGCTGGCTCACAGCTGCTGACAGGCCTGTGCCGACACAGATTCGATCAGCGACTAGGGAATTCTGGGGGCAGCATCTGAAGAGCTCCAGAAGCTAACAGAAGAGCCTGGGGACCACCAACACTCGCAGAGGCCAGTGGCTGGGGACAGCAGAGAGGAAAAGGAGGGCAGGAAACAGCTGGTAGAAATGAGTGATCGTTCAATGCAGATGAAGTTATTATTATCATGACTCTGGTTTTTCAGGGCAGGCGAGTGCCAGAACTGCCCAGTATGGCCTGTGACTTCTGTGCAGCAATGATTTCTCCAGGGACAGGGCCTGGAGCTCCCTCACAGTGATGCAATAAAATGGGATTCTCCACACCCTCCCCCTCCAATCTCCCAAGTCCTCTCCACCAGCCGGGGTGGTGTCAGGACCAAGCCAATGCCTTTCACAGTCTGGCCTGCAGGAGACAGGGAGAAATACGGAAGTGGGGATTAAGGGAGGCAGAAGGGAATGGGATATTTAAATGCTAATTTTAAAGCCTCTTCACAAAAATAAATGCTTTGCCAGTGACATCCCTTGGTCTGTGCACTTGTGTTCCCATTTTCCTCCTTGCCAGGGCTTGGCAGGGCTCAGGGCTTCCCTGTTCCTTCCAGCGACTATCTCATACGGGGAACACAGAGCAGTGATGTGGCTCAGGTCACCTGCACCAGGACCAGAGAAGCCAGGGTGGCCCTGGAGCCCAGCTGTGGGGACAGGAGAATGAGGCAGTGTGTCAGTCAGTTCACTCCACTGGGCTTTAACGTGGGTCTTTGAAACCCAGAGGGCCCAACATTGCCACATACGTGGGTGAAATCTATGGATTCGGGGACCGGGAGCCCAGCCCCCAGCTCCACTTCTAACCTGTCCCTTCATGGAAGGATCGGCTGTGCTCTCTCCCGGTCCTCTGGTTCAGTCACCCTGGACTGCAGGCTTCATGGTGCAATAATGAGGACGGTGGCCCTGGAGACCCGGGTAAGGGACAGCTGCTTCTATTTCCCACACACAGAAGCGGCTGCCTAAAACCTCAGCACTCGGTGAGACTCACCCAGCCCTGCCTGGGCCTGCGCCATGGACCCCTTTGCAAACCTGCCTGACCTGAGCAGGAGCAGCACAGATAACCCGATGGCCAAAGGATGACCCCGCATCAGTTCCATTCTGAGGTCTTGGGTGTGCATTTGTTGCTGTCTGGGATAAAAGGGTTCCTGATGGAAATTCACTCACAACACTTCTGACAGAATAGTGAAGCCCAGATTATTTCAACAGTTACCCAGCTCCCCACCCCAGCCTCAGCAAAATAACACAGCCAAAGCAGGAGAGCTCTGGGTCTGTGAAACCCTTCCCAGGCCACAGATCCGGGGGGCAGTGAGCGTACGGTTAAGTCAAGCCACTCAGCAAATGGCAGCTTCAGAACTGGGTTCCGGGTCTCCTGACCTCCAGGCCCTTGCTCTTCCTACTGAAACAAGAAAAGTCAAGATGACCAGGATCATCAAGGACAGATAGCCACAACCAGCCTGTGGGGCTCCAGCCTTAAACACAGCTCTGCAGCCAAGCCACCTTCTGTGCCCTGGGAAAGAAAGCTGTTCCGTATGGCCTGGCCTCGGGTCCCGATCCAGATTCCAAACATACCAGAGTGCAAGCTGCAGACAGCACAGACTGTCTGGGCTGCAGATGCCTCCCTGTCCCCTGCCTGGCGCTTGTGACACCCAAGAGGTCCCAGCTAATCAGCTAAGGAGCTTCCTTTCTCCGCAAGTCTCCGCATTAGCTGAGTTACCTTCTGACCCTGGGTCCGTCCCTTCCATCCGCTCGACAGAAAGGACCTGATACTTAACCAAAAAGAGAGAAGTAAGAGAATCTGGCCAAACCCAAAATACAAACGAGTGTGTTTTGGAATATTCCTGTTTAAAAAGTTACCACCTTTAGGCTGTACCGGGATTACCCATGGCTTCCGGTTTCTGCGCAAACAATCAAAATTTGTATGAATTTGTCTGCACAGGGACCTGCTCTCTTAGCAGACCTTCCCAGGGCAAGCTCATGAAGGACTCTGCAGGAAGTCTGGGCTATCAGGGGTGGAAGGCAGCTGGGAACAGCCTGAAATGCCCCCAGTAGGGCCGCTTCCACAGGGCTGCCCCCGAGGCTGGAGGCGGAGCTGCTTGCTCCCTGGGCATTATCCGCGGATCACCCGCAAGAGGATGGCTGAGAATGTCACCCCACAGGCCCATCCGTAAGGATGGTGATGGCCCGTGGCTGATGAGCATGTAACTCATTAAAGTGAACATGACTAATGAATGGTGACCACCGAGAAAGGGCAAGGAGCATTCTGGGAATTGCACCGCAGGCGCCCCCCTCCTCCCACTGGGCTGGCGGGCTGCACAGCCGGGGAGGCGAAGAGACTCCAGGCGCTGCTTCCTGGGAAGCGAGGCAGGGGCAGCAGGCCAGGTTCTTTCAGAAGCCCGCGTTCTCTTTGGTCGGGTGGAATGTGTGCGGGCGCGCATGTGCAGAGGGCACGGACTGTAGGGCGCCTGCTTGCCCTTCCGCAGCGCCTTCTCCCCGTCAGCACGAGGTCCCCCCGCAGCAGGGCCATTTCCCGGCCCACTTCCTCTCCAGGCCCCCGCACCGTGAGTCTCTCCCCTAACCCTATTAACGTCCCTGCTCCCCGCACACCTGCCCACACAGGGCCGGTCAGCCAAAGCTGGACACTCAAGGCACTGACAGTGGAAGAAGGAATCTGATTGGTCCAAGAAGACAACATAAAACACAAAGACATTAAACCAAAACCTGTCTCAAGAGAACATCTCCAATGTCCCCTGGAGGGTGGTCTCTGACCAGCTGGTGGGGTCTCAGGGAGGGCGGCAGAGCCGGAGACCCAGGGCCCCTCCCTCACCCGAGCCTCCACCTGAATGTATAAAAATGGAATCAAAGTGCTTGGAGACGGAAAGAGCAATGGAGGGAATTAGGAGCCTGGTGGAGAACAGGTGCCCCCCTTTCCTTTCCACTGGGACTTGTATTTTGGGTGGGGAAATCCCTACAGGTTTTTTTTTTTTTTTCCCAAATGAGGTTTTCATCGTTCAGTTTTCCAAATGAGGTTGTCTTTGCAAAATACCCTATAGCACAGCACGCCACCCCACACAAGCTCAAGAGTTAAAGCCAGGAAGTGGGGCAGAGAAGAGGGCTCCCCTAGGGTTGGTGCCACAAACCGCCGTGCAAGCCACAGCCGTCCCTGGCTGGCCAATCAGGTCCTGATCCTGACCTTTCTCTCTTCATGAAGATGCAGACGGGTCTGGTTGTCCCCAGCACAGCGCGGGAAGGAAAGGGGGCAGTGTGACTGGGGGCTCCTGGATCCACAGTGGGCAGCCAGGTTATTCTGCACTTTGGCCTCAGCTGCATGAGGGCTAGACTTGAACTCAGTACCAGGGCTGTTCTGCAGACAAGAGCTAAGTAAATCCAAGGTCCCTTCTGCAGTCTCCTAAAGAGGGCAAGATGCACTCTGGGCATGAATGCAAACAGGACTGGCCGGGGCATCGTACGTTCCACCTGTCTGTGCCCAAGCCACCCACTCCCCATACTTCATGTCTTCCCCGCCGAAGCCTGACCCCCCTTTCCCACTCACAGACGACCAGAGGGGTGGGACGGAAAAGGAATGCTAAAAAGTGCCCCCTCTGCTCTCCCCAACCTTCTCCTTCCCTGTCCCCATGCTGGCGTCAGGCAAGAGCACAGTTCAGAAGAGATACATCCTCCCGAGGAAAAGGGAAGGGCAGGCCCAGGAGGCTGGGGCATGCACGGAGCACCATCCTCGGGACGTGGTGTTTCTGGGAGACCTGCTCCCCACCTGCCACGCGGGAGGAGGAAGGCTGGTCCGAGCAGGGAGCAACGAGCAATGCCCCTGAATATCAGGGAACAGCTGTGAAGCCTCCTCTGCCCCGCAGAGACGCCCCAGCCGGGCTCGGGCCCCTACACGTGAGTCTGCATGCGCTGCTGGAATCGCTGCCCGTAGTCCGAGTGCTGGGAGGTGTAGGAGAACCGAGTGGCCGTGGCGTACTTGCCAATGGGGTCGTACGCCTCATACGGGGTCCGCTCCAAGCCGGAGGTGGGGGCCTGGGGATAGCCCAGCCGGTAGGTGGGGTACCCGGCTGCCCCAGGGAAGGGGTGGGAGTTGAACTTCTCATAGTTCTCAAAGGACAGCTGGCTGGCTGTGTCGGTGCCCGCTGGGGCAGCAGGGCCAGCAGCGGTGGGCTCAGGGCCGTAGTCAGAGGCAGGGGCCCGGCTGTAGGTGTTGAGCTGGGCATAGCCGCTGGAGTGGGAGAGACGGGACGAGGGGCGGCCATCGAAGCGGGCAGGGCCAGGGGCACGGTAGTCAGCATAGAGCACCGCCCTGGAAGATGGGCGGTCCTCGTGGGCACGCACGTTGTAGTAGCCATTGGTGGGGTCCTGGGGGCACAAGGAGAGAAGAGGATGGAGACAGAAGTTCCCTCTCAGGGGATCAGGTCTCCCTGTGGCTGTCCAACTGCCTCCTCTGGCTCTCCCCATGTTTCCTTCTGGTACCCACCCATGCCCCTGTTCCTTCAGTCACCCTCTGGACCCCTCCTCCCTGCCCTGTCCTCCCCTCCACCCCCAGGCCACGCACACGGCCCCACCTTCATCTCATACTCCTCCCGGGTGTCGATGGTGTCACAGCGCAGGTCCTGCTTCAGGTCCACATCATCCTTAAAGGACTGCACAGCAGCAGGGGTGAGGGGTCAGAAGACAGGGCCTGTTGTTAGCCCCCTCGCCAACCTCCTCCCCGTGCCCAGAGGCCTCCTGCTAACAGCAAGGGTCTGGGGTCAAGGGCACACTTGAGTTCTGCATCCCCCCGGCAGAGGCTCCGGGATGTGATGGAAGGGGCCAGGGACTGGGTTCTAGCGCTAAATCTGTTGCTAAAGGGCAGTGTGGCCTTGGGTCTGTCTCTGCCCTCTGTGGGTTGGTTTGTTCATCTCAGCGAAGAGGTGTTTACGTCAGGAACACAAGTCCTATCTCCGACTTTGTGATGGAAAGGATGGATGTAGGGACCAGCTCTGGGGCAGAGTGGGCTAGGCCTCCACCTGCAGTGCCAGCATCCTGTATGGACACCAGTTCGAGTCCTGGCTGTTCTACTTCCAATCCAGCTCCCTGTTAATGCACCTGGGAAAGCAGCTGAAGACAGCCCAAGTGTTTGGGCTCCTGCACCCATGTCGGAGACCTGGAAGAAGCTCCTGGCTTTGGATCAGCCCAGCTCTGACTGTTGCAGCCATTTGGGGAGTGAACTAGCCGATGGAAGACTTTGTCTCTCCCTGGGGTGCGGGTGTGCATGTGTGCACGTGTGCGTGTGTGTGTGGCAGGACCAGGGAGAAGAGAATAACAGCAGTGGTTAAGAGAGCTGGGGTGCAGCTGGTCCTAACAGCCTGAGGGAGGAGACCCTCACCGAGTAGATGGCCTTCATGACCCGGGTGGCTGTGGAGACGCTGGCCGTGTCGTCCTCCCGATCAGAATGCATCGTGAGTGGCTCTCGGTTCACCGTCTCTACCTTGATGTCCAGCTTCCTCAAGGTCACGTCCTTGCGACCTGGAACAGGTGGGGGCAGCCTGGACTAGTCGCTTTCTGCTGGCCTCGGGGCTGGGGAGCTCAGCTACATTCCTACCCAACCCCACCCTGGGAGGCGCTGCCTGCTGCGTGCCCTGGGACGGGAGGGGAGGGCTGCGGCCGCGTGGGGCCCACACTCACTGCCTTTGCGGCGCCGGTAGAGGAAGAACACCAAGGCGATGAAGAAGAAGATGAGCAGGATGCCCGCGCCGATGGTGGCCCCAGCGATGATGCCTACAGGCAGCACCTCTTCCGGTGGGGGAATGAAAGGAGGAGGGGTCATGCAGAGGCTCATGGGACACGAGCTTCGGGCTCTGCACGGCGGACGGGGCTAAGGTTTCCTGATTTTGTGAGCCGTGTTAGGTTTAAATCAAGGCTGGATTTGAGAAGAAGGGGACGGATGTGTTTGCATTTGGGTCTGTGCTTCAGCTTGATGAGAGCTGAGCTCACGGTCTCATCCCTGCAGGGGAGGCATCCACGTGACCCTGGCCTCAGACCATTCCTCTTCTTCAGCCCACCTGCCGCGAGGGGCGGTCCCTCCTTCCCGGACGGGGCCTGTGTTTCAGCTGCAAACCCTCCCATTGGCCATCTGTGCTCCGACCCCCTTGCCCACTTCCCCATCTGCACCTGTTCAGCCAAGGCCCAGCCTTCCTTAATTCCCCGGGCTTCCCAGAGCTGAGCGGGAGCTCAGGAGTCCTGACTTCAGCCTCTGTGGGCCGGGCTCCACAGCCTGTCTTCCTCGCAGTCCTCATGGGGCCCAGAGCCTGCCTACAGTTCTTCCCCTCTGGGACCCCTCCCTGAGGAGCCCCCCATTGCTCTTCCACTCTGTCCTCCTGGTTCACCCTGCAGATCTCCAGCCGTTTCCCACAAGGCTCCCCAGCTCCTATGTCAGGTGGCTAGCTCTCAAGACATAAATGGACAAACCAAAGCTATCCCTCCCTCATCAGACCCGGGAGCTTCCAAAGGTTAAAGTAATAACACCTCCATTGGGCTTCAAGTGCCCGGGGAGAGGGGGTCACGTCTCTCCCATCAGACTAAGAATTCCTGGAGCTGCAAGGGAATGAAAATGACTGAGCACCTATCCTGCCCTGGGCACTGGGGCACCCTCAGCAACCCGGTGAGACGGGCAGTGGTACTCCCTTGGTCCGTCTGGGTTCATTTGTTGCAAGTTCCTCCTCCACACTGGACGCTTCTTGAGTGCAGGGGCTGGGTCTTGCTCTCAGCTGCCCCCTGCAGCCCCTGGTGTGGAGCCCGGCCCACAGAGACGCTCAAGAAACGTCCATGGAGTGAGCAACCCTGCAGACCACTAAGAGTTCTTGCCCTTGGAGAACCGCCCTGTCCCCACCCCGACCACCAGGCTGCCCTGCACCCTGGCGGACACCGGCACAGCCAGTCACCTCGCTCCTCTAGCTGGATGATGGCCGTGCCAGGCCCGAAGCTGTTCCAGGCCGTGCAGTTGTAGTGCGTCTGGAAGTCGGCCTCCATGACGTTGTTGATGGTGAGTGTGGACAGCACGCCGCTGCCTGAGTTGGTCCTCTCCACCGTGTAGCGCTCCAGGGTCCCCACCTCCAGGAAGTTCTCCTTCCATGCCCAGGCCTGCGGTGGGGAGCACACAGAGGAGTTAAGGGGGCAGGTGGCAGAAGCACATGTCTAAGGCGTCACCCTCAAGGCACCCTCACTCTCCAGTGCCGTGTGGGTCTTCAGCTCGACCCAACACTCACCCTGGAAGGAGTCTGTCATATCTACCGCCTCAAACCCTCGGCACCCAGCCTCACTTGGGGGAGCAGCGACTCCCACACGTGGCTGACGTCACACCTCCTAGGGAGATTCAAATGGGAACCTCCAGGGAAAGGCTGAGGACCGCTGTCTTTCTAATGACCCCATGTGATGTGGGTGCAGCTGGTCCAACGATCCGATGTCTGGGACCCCCTGGGTCTCCCTCCAAGTCCCTGTGGGGCCTCCCTCTCCTCTCCCTCTCTAGGCCGCCATTCCTTTATCTGTGATATGAGAGAACCAGGCGAGTACTGGACACTGCTCAAGGTTTCTTCTAGTTCATCCGCTCTGTGATTGTAACTAAACACAACCCAACTCTTAGCCGCGCCTTAACCAATGCACAGGAACCTGCTAGCTGGCTCTGAAGACTCATCCAAGGCTCTCAGGATGGCAGGGCCCAGAGAAGAGCCCCCTGGACCCACCCCCCCTCCCTGACTTCCCACTGCAGGACCCCCCACAGGGGCCCCCCTCAGAGTGTAGCCTAAGGGAGGGGAGCAGCTGAGAGCTGGCTCCTTTCCAGAGATCAATCTTCCCGCTCTGCGAGGAGAGCCCCCGGGGAGCCCAGCCGCCCGCTGCCCGGGCGGCCGTGGTAATGGAGTGTCCCTGGGCAGCCCTGGAGTTAGCCAAATGGTCATTAAATGTGATGAGGGGTTTGACGGTTAATGGTCACGGAAGGAATTAATGGCTCATGGTGTGGGGGAGAGGAGGGAGGAGGGAGGTGGTGGCGAGCGAGCTGGTAGGAAGGAGGAAGGCAGGAGGAAGGAGGGAAGAGCAGGGCAGGGTGGGGAGCGGGAACGGATGGGGGGAGCAGGCCGAGGTTGGGGGGGAGAGGGGAGATCAGGGGAAGGGTCAGGGGTAACCGAGTCAGGGAGGCGGGAGCAGAAGGAGCATTTCCAAGGGCAGCAGGGAGGAGCGGTGACAAGGAACCGAGTGCCAGGTGCCACACCTGTTGCTACAGGGACTTCTTAGCAACCCCGTCGGGCAGGGGTTACGGCCTCGGTTTTGCAGAAGAGGAAAATGAGGCTCATCACGCTAAGTCAAGTGCTCAAGGTCACACAAGGTGTAAGAGAGGAGGCGGGATCCGAGCAGGTAAAGGGACACAGGGGACGAAGGCGGAGGATTAGAAGTACAGACAAGGGATGTGGAAATCGGAGGTGTGAAGCCAGAGGAAGGGAGAGGCGGCTGGACAAGAGTGGAGAGTTGGTGGTGGTGGAGTGGGGTGGGGGTGGGGGGTTGCCAGCACTCACGATGCGGTCCGGGGGTGGGGTGCTCCCGATGAAACACTCCACCTTGCCGCCGTCACCCCTAACAGCGTACTGCACCGCCTCGCTGGAGATGATGGGGGGCCCTGCGAGCGAGAAGACCCAGCAGGCCAGTCAGAGCCTGCAGCGCCACCCACCCAGGCCTCAGGGCCGCTCGGGCTACTCACCATTCACGTAAAGTGGCACCTCTCGCTCAGCCACGCCGATCCGAGGCACGATGGCCCGGCAGGTGTAGGTGCCAGCGTCCGCCTGGGTCACGGACTTCAGCAGCAGCTGGTTGCTGTTACTCAGGACCTGGGCAGAGAGAGCAGCCTCGGGTGGGGAGCCAGGAGGCCTGGGCCCCTAGGTCGGTGAGGGCCCCCGCATTGGAGGCATTGGAAAGAAAGCAGGAAGGACCACACGTGAATTTCCAGAAGGGAAATGGGGTTCCCGAGTCTGTTCAGTCCCCGCCCTGCCCCTCAACAGTTTGCAAGAATGGACAGGGGTGGCGTGGAGGCCGCAGTGGGCAGGGGAAGGCTGCAGTGTTTGTACAAGCACACGGCCTCCTCCAACCTGCTCTCCCGTTTCCACTGTCTAACGAGGCAGGGCACTTTCCCCTGAAATTTCTTCGTGTAACCCCGGACCACACTGACTCCGAGGGTCTCTCTCGAGCTACAGAATCCAAGCTCCTCGAGGGGATCGCCCCAGCTGCCTGCCTGTCCTGTGCAGCGTTCTCGTGCGTTTCACCCTGCAGCAGCCTCCCTGCAGCCTGCCCCTCCCACGGCCTCTGAACTGGCCAGCAGTCCTGTGACAAGGGGCGGAGCTGCCTGCAAGCACTGTCCTTGCCCTCAAAATCCCAAGATGCGAAAAAGATCCCAGGTTCTACCTGAAGAGGACGGACCGATCCCCGCCCAGCCCCTTAGCCGCCCCCACCCCGTCCCTGACACCCACTCCGCTTCCGCCCAGCACTTGGGAAGAGCAGGACGAGTCTCACCATGTTGGAGTCCTTCTTGGTCCAGGTGAGGGTGAGCGGGGGATTCCCAACCCACACACAGGTGAGGGTCACGTCAGAGCCGATGTCTGTGGTTGTAGGCTTGGGGTCCACTACGATCCGGGGAGCAACTGAGGCGGACAGAGGCAACTCGTCAGGGCCTCAAGCTCACCGGGGGTCTCTGGCAGGCAGGGTCCTCCTCCTGCTCTGTGAGCCCCTCAACTCCACTCCTGTCTCCTCTTGCTACACAGGCCCCCCGCCACGTTCCCCCCAAGGCCCTGCTCCCTGCTCAGCCCTGCCTTCCAGCCACTCACAGTGGACGTTCACCAAGGTGCTGACGTTGGTGCTTCCCACTTTGTTGTGGACCTCACAAGACACGGGCTCCGTGAAGAAGGAATAATCGACATTCGTCTCGTAGCGACTCTCGTGGGCGTCCTCGATCAGGAAGCCCCCCTTGGCCCACCTGGGGAGGACAATGCCCAGAGGTGGGATCAGGGCTCCAAGCCACCCCCACCACCACCATCCTGGCCTCCCTGAAGCACTCCCACCCAGCCCCTTCTTCACCTGTAGCCCAGGATCTCAGGGTTGGCAGTGGCCTGGCACGTGAAGATGACACGCTCGCCCTCCTGCACTGTCTGGGGCTCGATGGACAAGGTCACTGTAGGAGGATCTGCAAAGCAGGCCACAGGAAGTCAGAGTCCTCCGTCCCTCCCTTGCACGCTCAGACCTCATCACTCAGGGGTGATCTAGGAATCTGAGTTTGCAGATCAGCTCCAACAACTAAGCTGTCTTCTCTGCCTTTCCACGTGGAGCCTCTAGGGAGCCTCAAGGTAGGGGTGACCACCAAGGATGGTACTGAAGTCATCAACTGATCAACCGATGTAATGACCCACTGTGGCCACTAGGCGTCAGTGTGGGCTCGCTGCGCTCACGGAAAGCATCTTCAATTGCCCCCCACCCCTACATTTGTTTCCCTGTGTTTTCGGAGAGTGTTGTTGAGCCCCTACACAGTAAGCACACTCCATGCTGAGTGCTCTTAGGCTGTTTAATGCTCACAGCCTCAGGAAGCAGGGACAGGTCCACAATCCCTTACTTTCTTTTTTGATTTTTAAAATTTTTTAAATTTATTTTTTATTTATTTGACAGGCAGAGTTATAGACAATGGAGAGACAGAGAGAAAAGTCTTCCTTCCATTGGTTCACCCCCAAAATGGCCGCTACAGCCGGCGATGCGCCAATCCGAAGCCAGGAGCCAGGTGCTTCCTCCTGGTCTCCCATGAGGGTGCAGGTCCCAAGCACTTGGGCCATCCTCCACTGTCTTCCTGGGCCATAGCAGAGAGCTGACTGGAAGAGGAGCAAGCGGGACTAGAACCGGCACCCAAATGGGATGCCAGCGCTGCAGGCGGAAGATTAACCTAGTGCGCCATGGCACCGGCCCCCTCATAATCCCTTACTTTCAACCCTTGGAATTGGACATGTTTCAGAATTTGGAATTTTTCAAATTTTACAAAGAAAATGCTATGCATAAGGCCACAGACACCCCCCCCCCCGAGGTGTCTGGGGACACCCCACAGTCACACACATTAATGCATCTGCAGTGACACATACGGCCACTATGCCAAGACTATGAAGAGCACCAGCTCAGGTCTGCCCAGCACATCACTTTAACTATTATTATTTTTAAGAGATTTATTTATTAATTTGAAAAGCAGAGTGACAGATCTTCCATCCACCGGTTCACTCCCCAAATGCCCTTAACAGCCAGGGCAGGGCCAGGCCAAAGCCAGGAGTCAGCAACTCCATCCCTGCCTCCCACCTGGGTGACAGGAACCCATGTACTTGGGCCATCACCTGCTGCCTCTGAGACACATCAGCAGGAGCTAGACTCGATCCCAAGCACTCTGAGATGGAGATGGGGATGTCGGGGTCCCTGAGGGGGCCCAATCCTCTGTGCCACAACGCCCAATTCCCAAATCGCTTTTTCTTTGGAACCATGGATCAGAGATTACAGGTCCACATTATACTTTCTCCAGGTAAGCAGAGTTGGAAACCGAGGCTGAGAGAGATTAAACCATTGCCCCAAATGACACAGTGGCTCAGAACCGGGGACCACCAGACTCCACGGCCGATGCCCCTTCTACCAGCCCTCAGCGTCCAGGGGGACGGCAGCCTTTGTCTTGGGGTCTCTGGCTTCTCACGAGGCCGCCGCGTTCCCTCCTCACCACCCCGCGCCCGCCTGCTCCTGGACCCCACTCACGGTGCACGTCGAGCTCCACAGACGTCTCCCTGCCACTTGGGATGGCCTCATTCACGCTGCGGCAGGTGAAGACGCGCCCGATGTCCAGGTCTGTGGGGTTAATGAGCAGCTGGCTGACGGTGGTCTCCCTCTTCCCATCCTTCAGCAGCTCCTGGGGCGGGACGAGGCGGACAGACAAGGTCAAGCTAAAAGCCCCCTCCCCTGCTGCCCAGGTGAGCTGACTCGGAGTGGGGCTCTGGCTACAGGAATACTGTAACCTCAAGTTCAGCTGCCTCTGCTCCCCAACCTCTGCCCTGTGTGCACCTATTTTTTTTTAAAAGATTTTATTTATTTATTTATTTGACAGGTAGAGTTACAGACAGTGAGAGGGAGTGACAGAGAGAAAGGTCTTCTTTTCTCTGGTTCACTCCCCAAATGGCCGCAATGGCCAGAGCTGTGCCAATCCAAAGCTAGGAGCCAGGTGCTTCTTTCCAGTCTCCCACACGGGTGCAGGGGCCCAAGGACTTGGGCCATCTTCTACTGCTTTCCCAGGCCATAGCAGAGAGCTGGATTGGAAGATGAGCAACTGGGACTAGAACCGGTACCCATATGGGATACCTGCACCACAGGCAGAGGATTAACCTAGCGCATCTTGGCGCCGGCCCCATGCCTGACTATTTTTTAGAGCAGTTTAAAAAGTGTACAGAAAAACTGAACAGAAAGTATGGAGAGTTTCCATATTTTCTCCTCTCAGGCTCACCACTCCCAGCAGTACTGGTATCTTGCATTAGATAACTTTGTTACAACTGGCAGACCAAGGCTGGTATACTGTTACTAGCTAAAGCCCAGAGTTGGCCTTAGAGTTCCCTGTTTGTGTTACAGTTTTCCCTCTGGATCTGAGTCTCATTCTTGGAATTCTCTGAGTCCAGTACAAGCCCCTCCTCTTCTGCAAAGACTTTCAGGGCTGAACCAGGCCTCATCACGACTCTCCCAGCCTGAACCTGAACTGGTACCCTTTGCAACCTGTCCTGGGCACAGCTCTCAGCACATCCAGCTGTGTTTGCTGTCCTGTGTGAAGGATTCAGTGTTTATATATAGAGAAAAGATTTACTTGATTATTTGAAAGTCACAGTTACAGAGAGGGAGAGAAAGAGAGAGGTCTTCCATCCACTGGTTCACTTTCCAGATGGTTGCAACAGCCAGGGCTGAGGCAAGCCAAAGCCAGAAGCCAGGAACTTCACCCGGGTCTCCTGGTGGGTGCAGGGGCCTGAACACTTGGGCCATCGTCCACTGCTTTCCCAGGCTATTAGCAGGGAGCTGGATTGGAAGTGGAGCAGCCAGGACTCGAACCAGCACTGTGATGCTGGCATCACAGGCGGTGGCCTCACCAGCTATGCCACAAAGCCAGCTCCAGGGGGTTTCAATGTTGAATCACAATCTCCTTGAGGGCGGGGAAGGGGCTCAGAGGCTCCAACTCTCTCACTCGATGCCGTCCAACCCAAGGTCCCTGAATACAGTCCCAGGAACCTTCCGGTTGTTTCACATATTGCAAACCGCCCAGGAGAACTATGCTGTGAACCAAAGTCAGGTCTGTGGCCTCATCACAGAGACGGGTGCATCTCTTCTGGGCCTGGAACAGGACCTGGCCATGCAGTAGCCCTGTCTCCCCCGTGCCACCCTGAACCTTTACTGTCTCAAATGGGCATGAAAAGGGGGGGGGCATGCCTGCAGCAGAATCACGGGGCCTCTGTCCATCCGAGTGTCTGGCAGGACTGTGGGGGACAGCGGGCCCAAGTTTCCTCCTCTCCGTGAGCTGGAAGTAACACCTACTCTATGGGACTCTGGTGAGGATTAAGGGAGTCCCTCCCTAAGGTGCTCGTGCACAGCTAAGTAGGTTACTGTTATTACTTATTATTACTGTTATTCCTTAGTCTCTGCGTAGGGACAGAATGGTGGCGAGCCCAGGAACCAGTTCCCTGCTCTATGCCTCACGATGCCCAATGGTCTATTGGGAGGGTCGCCCCAGGCACCCTCTAAGACCCCTCCTCACGTCTGTGTCCCCCGAGCCGTGGTGGAACCCCTGTGGGAAAGAAAGGCAACTACAGGCTGGGCGGAGAGGAGCAGGGGGAGCGGGCAGAGTCCTCACCGTGCTGGCCACGGCGCCCTCCTGCTGCGTCCCGTCCCGGAACCAGATGATGGTTGCGGCAGGCTTGGCGTTGAAGGCGCGGCACGTGAGGTTGTGGGGGGTGCCTGCCTGCAGCAGAATCACAGGGCCTCCGTCAATCCGGGTGTCCTCCGGCGGGACTGCGGGGGACAGAGTGGCCAAGTCAGCCCAGGGTGTGGGCGGGGCGGTGCCACCCAGGCCTGCCTGCAGCCACTCTACTACTGCTCCCATGGTGGCTTCACCCAAGGTCCTGGGCTCACACAGCTCCCCAGGCCCTCAGGTTTTCCTGTCTTAGCTTGCTCTGTTTCCTGGTACTACACTCCCAACCACTGCTCAAGCCTCCTACTGACAGATGGGGTTCTGCGCTATCTCAGTATTTGGGCTCTAGGTGGCTGCCTCCACAGGTCTCTTAACGCCCATCCCTTCCTGTCTGCCTCTCTGCTCGCGGGCAGCCAGACGGGCGGGCCTGTTACAGCAGCTCCACTGTGCCACTGCCAGCACGTCATTTGCCTACAGCTCTGCTACGACTGGGCCACTCCTTCGCTCAGACACCTTCAGTGGCTACAGCTGCCTCAGGCATGAGTTCTGAGTGTTTGTACAAGGGTCCTGGAGCTCAGTCCTGCAGTTCCTGGCCTCCTCATCCTTGCGGATGCTGGCGTTTGCACATGACGTGCCCTTCCCCATAGCTCCTGCTGAAGAGCCACCCACCTGCCCAAGACCCAGTGATGCACTAAGGCTTTCCGGGCCGTGTCCCCCCTCCCCATCATGCTGGTCCCAGCCAGTCACTCAGCACTCTTTACACTATCCCCTGGGGATCTGATGACTATCTGTCCCTGCCCCAACCAGAACTGTTCCCACTGGACCTGTCTCACTACTGATGGTCTCCAGTGCCTGCAGTGTGGCCAATGTGAGCCCTTGCTAAATGCTGACGCTACAAGCAGGTGGTGGTGGGTGTTTCCCTGCCCCACAGGTGAATCAGATGGGAAGTTTCCGGAGGGCAGGGGCTGCCTACTCTCAACCCCAGTGTCGAGTAGGAGTTGCCTTGACAGCAAGGGTATTTGTTGAATGAATGAATGGTGATGGGTGGGATAAAGGCAGAAGGATTTTGATCACAATCTTTCTTACCCACTCAGTGTTCATCAGCCAGAAAGGAGAAAGGATTTTGTTTGCTCCTTTCTGGGAAAGACAAAAAAAAAAACTCGGAGGGAGTTTTCCAGGAGGAACCCTTGAGAGTGGGTAGTGAGAGGCCCTAGGAGCCCTGGGGGCGGGCAGGGCTGTCCTGCAGTTATTGGATTAAGGGGTTGCATGCTTGGGTTTCCAGTTAAAACAAACCCCCTGCAGCCTGGCCCAGGGATCTGTTCAACCCCCGTGTGCTGAGCCATCTCCTGGATGAGGTGCACAGAGTTTACAGCCCTGGTTTCAAATCCTATTAACTTCGCGTTGGCCTGCCCAGGGATCTTGGGTGAATCACTAAACTCACCGAATTGCAGGGGTTGTTAGTTTTGTCTTTGTTTAGACCAGAGAACAGTGCCTCCTCACTGCACCCCCGTGAAGGTCAGGGTGAGGCACTGCCCCTGGGCTGGGAGGTGCAGGCCCTGTGCAGTGGGTGGGGTGTGTTAGCTTCCTTGCCTGGACGCGGCCAGCAGCACAGCCGACCCCTGGCAGGTTAATCATCCTCTGAATCCCTTGTGCCTCCTCCTTACTCCCTGCTGTATCTGGTTCCAATGCCAGATGGGTGCAGGTTTAGCGATGGGGGAGGGAAGTAGCGAAGGAGACAAGGAGCTGCCACCCCAGGTCCCTGGGTCAGTGGGGGGTGGGACGGACCTCTGTAAGGCCATACCTTGCTGCCATGCCCAGGAGCCAGGGCCTGGAGGAGCAGCGTGCTGAGTGTCCTTGCCCAGAGACTCCGCCCACACCCAGGTGCCCAGGTGTGTGGAGTCCCCCGGGAGGGAAGGGAAGGCGTCTCCTGCCTGCCCCTGTCATGTTCCCTTTGCTCTGTTCAGGCAGAACACGTCCATCTGTCTCCTCTGCCACCAGCCCACCTTTCTCTAGAATGTCGCCACCATCATCGCCATCTGCACCTGGGGCGAAGGACGGCAAGGCTGCTGGGGCGTCTGCTCAGCCCGCAGGGAGAACGCCCGGGCAGGCCCACAACAAGTCCACGTGCTGATGGGCAAGCTTTTACCACCTGTGCCTTAATCGTGGATGTCCACATGCCCGTGTCTGTGGCCTCAGTTTCCACGTGTATAAAGTTTCAGCGTTGACACCGGCTCCCCGAGAGGTGTTACTGCGGTGGGGAACAGGATCGCATGGACGAGAAGTCAGCTGCAAACTGTAACGTGAGAGGCAGCCATTTCCACGTCCGCCCAGCTCAGCTGAAGCGCTCGTGTCTATGATTTCATTTAATCCTCACCACCAAGTGCATCTCATTAACCCCTTCACGGTAAATATCATTAACCTCAATTTACAGATAAGGAGCCCAGGCTCGGGGAGGTGACGCCCATCGCTCGGGGACAGCAGAGTGAGTGAAAAGGCAGAGCCGGGCCGGGAACCAGGCCGGCCTGACCCTAAAGCCCAGCTCCTCTCTGCTGCACCCCAGGTGTTACTGCAGTGAGTAGTGAGGGCGCTGTGCACTCCACGTCTGCGGGGACCGGAAGTCGTGGTGGGCTGCACTCACAGTTCAGCTGCATTGGAAGCTGTTCAGGAAACAGCCAACCTGAGGAGCTGGGGGACCAGGACGGCTGGGGGTGAGGGTCGTTTGTGAGGCTGGTGGTGGGCAGGGAGGCTGATCCCAGATCCCAGGACAGCCCACTCCTCTTTCCTGCCCTGCCGGGTCTCCGGGTCCCCAGGCTGTGACCAGCCACAGCTGCAGTAGGCGGGCAGACAGGTAGGCAGGGGAGGGTGTGAGGCTGTCATGCCTTCTCCTGCCTGTGTTTGGTGCAGGCAACAGGGTGTCCCAGGGCTTAATAGAGGGAGAAGAGCGAATGCAGAGACCAGGCAGGCTAACCATCCCTGTCTCCCTTCTTACTTTTGGGGGCCTCTCCCTTTACCTCTCATGCTTTCAGAGCGCCCTGACGGGCTCTATGAAGGCCCACATCCTCAACACCGACCAGGCCCTCCCAACAGCCAGTCGGTACCCCCCACCCTCTGTGGAGCTCTGCCTTATTGACCTGCAAACCTTTAAACAAGGCATTCCACCATCAAGGGTTCCCAGGACATTCTCTCCTCCCCCAAGAAGCCTTTCTTGATTGAGACAGGCCACTGGCCGCCACTCTGAGGCCTCCTCCTGCCGCATCTAGGAGCCTGTTGGATTTTGTTTCTGGGTGTGTCTGTCTCTGTGCTGAGGTAGAAGGGAGAAAGGAGAGACATCTATCTGGGCCCCTTGTTAGGATGCGTGCTCTCTGGGGCACACGTAAGGAAGAAAAGAGGAGGGGGGTCTCCTAGGCTCCAGTGTGTGGACTCCACACTCCAATGAGGGTGTTAACTAATTCTTGCACTCTAATCCCAATCCTGCTCCTTGCTGATTCCTGCAATTTTAGTCCTACAGAGGAGAAACAAGGCATCCACCAGCCTTGAGTCCTAGTGCTTCAGGTCCTTCACACGCACAGAAATGGGCAGCCCGGTCCCCCAGCCTCCCCTGTCCTGACACCAGACACCAGCCCACACCTCTGCACCTGGCAGTGCCACCTACAGGGAGCAGCAGGTGGTGCCGTGCCTCCAAGAAAACCTGTGTCCTCGGGGCGGTGGTGCCCACATGGCTGGGGTGCAACAGGTGCCCAGGTCCCCGGGGTCCCTGCAGCTGAAGACTCTTCCTGCTGCACTCAACCTGTCACGTGCTCACAGCCTCCTCTCGGACTACACACTTGCCGGCGTCCATGCTCGCTCAGCTCACCTCCTCCCTCCCTTCTCCCATCCACCTTGAAGGCTTCCCCCACGGCAGTGATTTCGGCCAGAAGGAGGGAAAACAGGGGCAGCAAAACAGATCAAAGGGAGGCGGGAAGACAGGGATGGAGTCGATGACAAAAGAGCAGGCAGAGGATCACGGGTAGAAGAGTTCAGCTGGAGACTTGGAAAGCACAGGAGAGGCAGAGGCACAGCGAGTGACACCGCAGAGCTGGAGGCAGCAGAAAGACCGAGGGAGCCAGGGGGCCGCCGAGCACCAGGCCTGGAGACAGGCAGAGGGGCGAGGGGCAAGGGGCGAGCTGGAGCTGGCCTCATTCCGGTGCTGCATGCTGGAGCTGTCCTCTCATTATGCAAATGGCCCCGGGGGTTACCATAGAGGGACATCTGCTCTGTCCGCCCGCCCGTGGGCTGCTGCCAGGCTCGTGACTTCCAAGAGACAGGCCCTCCCACGGCTGACCAGTCACACAGGACCCCTGCTCCATGCCCGCCCCCCCCGCCTGGTCTCAGCCCTCCAGGCCTGCTCCCCCTGTTTTCTGAGGGGGCCCCCAGGTGGAATCTGAGCACTGAGGGAGGCAACCCAGGGAGGAAGGGCTGGAGGCAGTGTGAGCGAGAGACAAGTAGGGAGCTGGTTCTGGAGACTGAGAAAGGGGAGCTCCCTCCCCCGCCACAGCAAGCCTGCCGGCCAGGGAGCTAAGGAAAGGAGAGGCCGGGTCTCCATCACAGCTGTGTGCCTCCCAGTGTGAACGCCCACATCCCCTGCCCACTCTCCTCTACATGCACTTGACTTTGGAAGAAGTTAAAGGAGGAGTTGGGGAGGGGAAACCAGGGAGGTCACGGGGACAGTGGGGGCAGGATGGCGGCCAGAAACAGAGGGAGAAGCTGGGAAGTTAAAGAGGGGATCGGAGAGCCAGAGAGTCAGGGGCTTAGGGCACTGAAGGGCGTTGCGTCATTACTGAGCACGGTGAGTTTGGCCCGCCGGGAGCGCAGGGCGGCCTCCGTGGCCTGGCACTCGTAAGCAGCGTCGTCAGACAGCTCGGCGTCTGTGATCTCCAGGTTGTACTGCCCGGAGTCGGCAGAGCCCACGACCCGGTACCGCGGCCAGGCTGCGGAAACAGAAAGGGCAAAGCCCAGGGTGAGGCCCAGCCTGGGGGCCTCGGCTTGGGGACCACCCTGTGCCCTACCTCTCACCCCCAGGTATAGGCCCACACCCAGCCCGGCCAGCACTCCTCCCTCCGCCCTCTCTGGGGACAGCACGGGCAGGTGAGACCAGGGGGTCCCAGACACAGGCTCTGTGATGTCACAGCCCCCCAACTCTCCCCGCCCCGTGGCGAGCTGGGAGTGATGGAGCAGGAGGGGCGGACCGCGGGGCGAGCAGAAGCAGGGAGATGAGCAGGAGCGGACGAGATCTCCGAAGCTGTTTGCAGACAAATGTCTTTCATAATGATAGGAGAGAAAGGGGAAAAAAAAAGGCAGACAGCAGGGAGGAAGGGAGAGGGGGAGAGAGTGTGGGCGCGTGGAAATTAGGGCATCGCAGCGCAGACATGAGCTCACTGGGGGCAGCTCTGTGGGCAGAGGCAGAGAGAAGCGAGGCAGCCTGAGGTCTCGCCCCCACCCACACGGGAGGGACAAGCGAGGCAGGGTCCTGCCAGCTCCCTGCTGCAGCCCCCTTCTGGGCCCCGTGCCTCTGGCCCTCTCCCATTTGGCCTCCCTTGTCCCCCTCCCTCCTCCTCCCCCGTCCCCGCCATCAGCTCCCTCCCATTGTCTCCCTGTGTCCAGAGACTATCGATTCTTCTCACTCCATATCCATCGATCTCTCCCTCTCCTAGTTCCTCTCTCTATCATCAATACCTCCACCAGGCCCGTCTCCTTCCTTCATACAGAGGGCTCTCTGTTACCTGTGCAAACCTACGGAGCCCGTAGCAAATAGCCTGCATCCCCTCAATAGCAGGAATAAAAATATACAGCCCCCTTCCCGCCACACCTGCACCACTGCAGTGCTTCGCAGCCACGTGCTTCCCAGTTCATCATGTCTCACTGGGCCCAAGATCCACCAATGGACTCCTATACAGCCAGGCCTGGTTCCCAGGTCAGTAATCCCAGGCTCAGAGAGGCCAAGTGGCTTTCCTCAGGCCGCCCAGCTGGCAGGCGGCGGAGGCGGGGCTAGAACCCAGGTGTCCTGACTTCCTGCCCACTCTGCCGGAGGCTTTCCAAGTACTTGCTTTAGGAGGTCGGTTTGTTTTCTGTTTCTGACTGAATCGCTGGGTTTTCTTCAGTGCCAGCTCCACAGTTGATGCTCAGTAAATGCTTATTAAATGAGTGAATAAGCAAATAAGCGCTCAGGCCGATATCAGACTGAGCTTTTGGCCTCTGAGCAGGTGTCGCCCCGGCAGGGGGAGGACAGAGGCCGGAGCAGAGCCCGCGGGGCACGAGCTCTTGCAGAACATAGAAGGTGCCTGTGCCCTGTGCCCTCCCCAACGCCTGCAGGGGGCTGCCGGCTCCCAGGCCCTCCTCCTTGACCCCCGCCTGCCTGTAGGAACCCTCACAGTGTCTATCTCTCGTCTGAAGCTTTCTTCGTAAAGGTCTCTTGGTTTCCCTTCATCTCCTGGGCTCTGAGTTCTCAAGTCAGTCCACGGGGCAGGAAAGCGGTAGAGACAGCTCAGGACAGGGAGGGAAGAAGGAAGGCGGTGGGGAAACCAAGGGATGCTGAGTCCAGGAGTCCGTGCCGGGAGTGGGAGGAAGGGGACGAGCGTCCAACAGCCTGGGTGCTGGGGTGGCCGGGCAGCCCCGACTCACCTTTGAGGCCCTGGCCCATGCCCAGAGCCAGTCCGTCCTTGGTCCATTGCACGATCCCAGAGTAGTTGAGCAGCACGCAGGGCAGCACAGCCCGCTGTCCGGCCACCACGGTCTGGTCGGCTGGCTCCTGGCTGAAGCGGGTCTGGGTCCCTGGCAAAGCCAAAGCCGGCACTGGGTCAGGAGATGAGTGAGAAGAGGGGCTCCACGGAGAGGCCACCCCTCCCAGGCTCTCACCCCCAGCCTGCAAGGGGTGGGAGGGGAGACGGCCCCTGCCCCACTTCAGCCCCAACCCCTGCCCTCTAAACCTTTAGCTCGTTCCTCCCTCCACCACCCAGGGGAATGGGTTCCAGCAGCTGAAGTGCTTAGCAGTCAGGGAAAGTGGTGCAGTGTTACGTAAAGGCTTAGAGATGGGGCCAGTGCAAGCCTCTCATTTCACAAAGGAGGACACGGGGATCCACGGAGAAGACGAGGAACTTCCCAAGGGCAGGGCTCCGCTTAGGGCCTGAGCCATCCTGCCGTCTCACCCCCACACCCAGGCGTTCCTAACAGTGGCTGCTGGTGATGCTGCTCAGGACTGAAACGCACACACATGAAAGTGCCATGGCCCCTAGCTGGACACGCATCATGTGAGCCAACGAGAGGTAGCACCAGTTTGCATCTACACCAGGACGCTCCCCCATGGAGCATCCGGAAGGTGCGCAAGGGCAAAGTCCGTGGGACAGGCATGTCCAACGTCCACATGGCTAACAAGCTTCCAAGGTGGGGACAGTATCCATAACAGAAGTGCTCTTAGTCCACGCACGTCCTGGCACGCTGGCCCTGCTCCAAGTGTTACCCCTTGTTCCCAAGTGCATGGGTGTGCATGCACTGACACACCTGCACACACGCGGCCTGCTGCACGGCGGGAGCTGAGGCCGTGTGACTTTGTTCCACTCTCCCCCATGGCTGTGAGCTACACATGGCTGCCCGGCTGGCAGCTCAGCCCGGGAGCATTTGATTAGAGAACTGCAGAGTAATTGCCTTTAATTGTGGAGCCTAAATGGAGCAGGGAATTGGATTGCGGCTTCTTCTCCCCCACCGCTCCCACCCACCCACACCAACCATCACTGGTCGGCTCCAGTGGTGGGGCAGCCTGGGCACTGTGCAGAGCTGGGGAGCTGCAGGTCTCCAGCCTGGGGAAAGGCGAGGAAGGGAGATAGGACGGGGGAGATGGTGGAGACGGGGGGCTTCCTTGCTATGCCTCCAGTGAATCACACCAAGGTAACCAGAGTCAGTTCCCCCCCAGGACTCAGGGGCTGTTCCCCCTTCTTCCCCTCCCAGCTCCTAAGCAGAGGCCACAGTCCCCAAATCTAATCATTTCCAAACCCAGCTTCCCCAAACGTCTCTGACCTGCCATCACCCGTGTGTAGGCCAACATAATTCAACCCTTCCCATCCCAAGACTTCCCTCTAACCACAGCAGAGGCTGGGTCCTGGTCGCATGCCCTCCCTTCTTTTTTTTTTTTTTTTTTTTCCTTCAGCCCCACTTTTTCCTTGCTTCCCAAACCTGTCTCCTGCTCCCCTCTTCCAGAAAGTCCTCCTAGACTAATTCCTGGGCCCCTTGGGCCCCATCACTAAGCCGTGCTTTCACAGCTCTATTCACACGGTCTCCAGTCTCGAATCATCAGGGCTTACACCCATAGTTTTCTTTGCTAGGAGAGGGCAGCAGGTGGGGCAGAGGGGGCAGGGCCGCTGCTCTGTCGCTTCCCCTGGAATGAGACCCTCTCCTCCGGCTGGATCTCTCTGGACCCTGACATCCATCCACGCTGGCTGCTGCACACAAAGGGGACTGAGAAAGAGGCAGCAGGGGCCAGGAGTGGACTGATGGCCAGACAGGATACACTGGGAGGCAGGCAGCTTCTCCACCCTGGCCCAGAGTGCCGACTCAGCGCTTTGGGTCTGCAGGGGGTCAGGATTTTAGAAACCAGGACCCACTGTCATCCTCTGTGAGTGGTTCCCCAATTCTGCTGACCTGACTTCCCAAGAAGGAAAGGGTAAGGCTCACCCACATTCTGAGGGATTAGGGTGGCAGGTGCTGAGATCCTGGGGGAGGAGAGGGTCAGGTGAGCAGCCGGCATTATTAATTCAGGCATTGCCCTCATTATTATTCAAATTTATTCATATCCTTGGCGCATTTCTCTAGTGCAGCTACATGCTGCAAACCCTCCACACTCACATTTCTCCTTCCCCCGGCCCCCCGAGCCCAAGTCAAGGGCTTGAGAGTAGGGTGGCCTGCGAGCCCTGGCTCAGAGATGGAATTCCTATCCACAGCGTCCCTGCATGGAGCCTCTTGGTGAAGTCTCGAGAGTACAGTGAGCAGCTGGTTCCCCGTCCACTCGGAGTGCAAGGCCACTGACCCTGCGGCAGGATGGGGGTGGGCAGCATGGGGCGTCACAGTCTGCAGAGTGAAGAGCGCTGTGACCTTGGACTTGCTACTTCCTCCTCAGGGCCTCTGCGCGCACCTGCACCGTGACAAGTCTGGACTAAGGCCTGCAAAGATCCCTGTATGCTTAAATGTTTTTTAAAAAAAGATTTATTTATTTGAAGGACAAAGAGAGCAAGAAGAGGAGGAGAGAGAGAGAGAGAGGAGAGACCGAGATTTCCCATCTCCTGGCTCACACCCCAAAATGCCCACAATGGCCAGGGCTGGGCCAGGCCAAAGCCAGGAGCCAGGAACTCCATCGTGTTCTCCCACCTGGGTGGCAGGAACCCCAGGTGCCTCCCAGGTGCATTAGCAGGGAGCTGGATCAGAGACCCAGAGCAGCCAGGACTCCAACCAGGCACTCCGACAGGGGATGTGGGTGTCCCAGGCAGTGGCTTATCCCACTGCTCCACCATGCTTGCCCCTACACTCAAGTACTAGGGGCATCAGTTTCAGAGACAAAGGTTCACACTGTGCCTCTGCAGCTTCCGGAGTGACCTTGGCCAAGTGACAGGCCCTCTAAGCTTCATTTTTCTTCTTCATACATGGAAGAATGGGACGGGGGGAGCTGCATGCCTGAGATAGCCCCGTGTACATTCCCACTAAATGGAAGCTGGGGTCGTTATTTATACTCAGGGGTGTCTGTCTGGGGACTTTGGGGTAAAACTTTATCTAGGTGTAGGCCTGGTTGAAGTAGCTTAGTTCAGAGACAGGAGGATGGAGGCGATGTCCCTGCCGAGGGGTCTGGAGTAGCGGGGCGATGGAGGGGTCCTGGGGAAGGCAGTCTAGATCCTGGGCCTGCAAAAGCCACAGGCATTGTGTCCTGCTTCCAAATCAGCCCCCTGAAGCCAGGACAACATCCGAGATGGAGTCCGGATGCCCGGGGCTGTGCCAACATGGCTCCCGATTAGGGAAAAGCCCCAAGTCTGCCCTCACCAATGCCCATTCTCTTTCTTTACTCTCTAAGAGCACCTGTCTCTCCTCAGGCCCTTGTGCAGGCCTTTCGCTGGGGCTAGGGGAACCATACTGCTCCCTTACCTCCTTTGGGATTCAAACAGTCACCTCCTCTGGGAAGTCTTCCATGGTTGACCTGCACTTCCTCAAAGCCCTTTGGGACTCATTTCTCACTTCTGATGTGGTAGCAATGACACCACACCGGCCTCACGGCTCCCATGCCCGGCACCAGCAGTGACTCCTTGAGGCTGGACCATGCACTCACAGCCCACAACCCACCACCTGGCACAGGTGTTCCGAATGAGTGTTGAATGACAGACCAGGAGTGAGCAAATGCTGGGGTCAACAGTCCTGCCTTGTGAAAGCCCCCCCGAGAAAGGGAGGTAGAGTTCCACCCCCCACAGACTTCAGCAGTGGGAGAGGCAGGGCAGGAGGCTGAAGGGCTTGGGAGTTCTCGGTCCCAGCAGAGGAGAGCTGTGCTGGGGCAGAACTGGGTGCACTTCTGGGCTCAGGCAGGCGCTGACGCGGTGCTGGGGGGCAGAGGAGAGCTGCAAGGTGAGCAGAGAGGTGCAGGAGCGCAAGAGCTTCGGCAGAAGCAGTGCCCTGACTGCGTGACAAAGGAAAGGAGTGGGGGAGACTCTGGTGTGTCCTTGACAATCAGGAAGCCTAGCAAGTGGCACACACGTGACTGAGCAGGCACGAGCCTCCAGGGCCGGGGAACCTGGCCCCCCCAACCACTCAGCCGCATGGCAGACCTGTCCTGAGCTGGGAGTGAGACTTCAGTCCCATACCTGTGCCTGCACCCACTTCCAGGAAATAAAACCTGCACCAGACAGAAATGCAGAGGACTCGCTCCCTGCAGAGTGAGCAGCTAGGTGGGAGGGGAACCAGGAAGTGGACACAGAGCAGTGTCCCACCGCTGTATCCGCCGAGAGCTTGCCTCTGGGACCAGTCCATTCTGCATGTGTTCCTAAGTGAATTCCCACCTGCTTTGATCTAACCCCTCCTGGGCTTCAGACCCCAACAGAGATGTAGTGAACTCTTAAGCAGCTGATGAGAAGCGGACAGGAAAGAACGGGCTGTCTACACACCTGCAAGGGCGTGCACGCACGTACACACACACAGAGGGCGCTGAGAAATACAAACAAGACTGATGCTCCCAGAGAGGCAGCGGCAGAGTGAAGGAGACCAGCCAGGGGAGCAGGAAGCCCAGGGGAGATCTGGGTTAGGAAGAGCCCAGGATGGAAGAGACACAGACTGGGGCCAGCAGGGGTCCAGGAAGAGAAGCACCAGGGCAGACCAAGAGAGACAGTGCCCATGCACTAGCAGAGACCCAGGCCGAGAGACTGAGAGAGACTGAGAGGGGGGGTCGCTCCAGGGTTGGCGCCCCATCCCACCAGAACAGGTTCCTAGGAGGCTGAGGCTGGTGGATGGCTGATAAGGTGAACAAAGCATGGGTGCGGGGAGCAGAGAGGCCCTGGTGGGGAGCAAGGGTGCAGCCGGGCACAGCACGGGCTCGGGCTGTGCTTCCCGCCGAAGTGCTTCGAGATGGCAGCTGGGGGAAACCCAGCACCCCGCCAGGAATCCCGCCCTCCCGTCTCCCACCGCAGTGTGTGGGCTGCAGGCTACAGCGCTCCTCACACCTCTGCTGGATTAAAAGTTACTCCCTTGTGTGTCTGTCTCCCCCACTCTCCAGGGAGCCCTTGAGAACAGAGAGATGCTTCGGTTTACTTTTC